CCCCCCCCCCCCCCCCCCCCCCCCCGTGCACGCCTCTCTTTACCCTCGGATCGTCTCGTCCTGGTACCCCTACATACGGCCGCGGGATACCGCCGTCAACGTGCACACCAGCAGACGATGCTACGGATTCGGACGAGATGCCTGCTCCGAGAACATCGAGACTGAAGCGAGTCACGGCGCCGACCAAGGTTAGTCGAGGTTCATGAAGAACTCTCGAGCGGCCGTTTCGTGGTCCCCTGTGCCCGGCAGCAGCGCCCTTTGCCGCGATGGTAGCCGGTGGCTCCGAGAGCATCGTGCGCCCGCCGATCCCCGCGAAAAATCCCGAAGCGCAGTGTTTTTTGTGTGTATGAATGCCCGCGGGCCGTGTCGCTGTACCTTGGTTGATTCTGGTGCGTATGTGTTTGGTTGGAATTTTTATGCGGGGGCGTGGTTAGCAGCAGGCAGCGGTGATGGCAGGGATTGCAGGGCGGCGCTGATGTTGCCGCCCTAGGTGTGCTGCTCGTGCACAAGGGTAGAGTACAGCTTGGTAAGGTTGATGTGGTACTTGGTGTCTTCGTCAGGTGTTAAGATGAGACCGTTCATTTGGAGCCAAGGTCGGCGGTCCGCTTCTCGTTGCTAAATAGCGGAGGTGGCGGTGGCAAGCGTTTTGTTCCGTGTGGTAGCATAATATTTTCTGAGATTTAGGTAAGTTTGGCGTGTGCTCGCTGGGCTTGGCCTCGCCCCCCCCACTCCGTTCTATCAAGATTGTACAACAGCCTTCTACGTGCTACCTACACCTGAAACCCGACTCCAACATGAGCCCTGGTAACACTATTCTATCCCGGCCCTGGACACCCTCGCCCGGGAAACTCGCACCGTACCCGCTTCCCGCCGTCTACAGCCGATCGCGAGGCCCCCTTCGACCGCCCAGCCTCTGCAATCTTCGATCGGCGTTGCCGCCTCCTCCAGACATCAGCGGCCATCTCTTAATGACACCAAAGCGTCTAGCGTTGCCAAGGTGACCGGTGACGTCAAGGGGAAGGAGGACGTAGAGGAGGAGCCGTCCGCCGTGAGGGACACGGAGAATGACGCAGCAGAGGAGATGGAGGAAAGCGAGTTGGCGCGAACTGCACACGAGGAGGAGAAGGGGGATGGGGCTGAGGGGGAACAGGGCGTTGCGGCGCACGGCGAGGGCACGAAGCCCGTAGCAGCCGGAAACGAAAGCGGGGACGATGCGGACGGTGTTAGTGAGGGCAAGGTTTTATCTGAGGCAGACACAGCAGCAGCAGCGGTGGCGGCGGTGGTGGCAGATCCTTCGATAACCGCAGGCGACGGAACGGCGGAAGGCGGAGGGGGCGAAACGGGAGGAAACCAGGGTGTGCAGGCAGAGGAGGAGCATTCCCAAGCGGCGGGTGAAGGACATGGTTCTGCGGACGGACAAGACCATGACGAGGGTCGGAAGGAGTTAAGTAGGGGGCGGGAGCAAGCAGCGGGGGCGGTGAGAAAGGAAGAATTGGAGGCGGAAGCGGAGACAGCTGCAGAGCAGGTGCGTGGTTTGCGTGCCCTGTTTTGTGATGGTCTGCGCTAATAATTGCGTCCAGAAATGAGGTACCCCTTAGTGGTTGTAGCCGAGGAAGAAAACATGTTGCTTGGTTTTTTGCTTTGCTCCGAGTAGTTGGTAAAACGTTCTTTGTTACAGATTATGAGGAACCTGGTGGTGGAACACCCAGATTTCTTTGCTTGCCGCTCTTTACTGGCCGAAAGAACGGTTGAAAAGACTTGGCTCCATTGATTCGACACACTCTCTTTGTCTCGCGAGCGGTGTGCTGCTCTCTTGCCGGCAGCGTCGTTGCCTCAGGCTGTAAACGGCGTCGTTCACCCGGCCGATGGCTTGGTTGCGTGTGAGTTGGTCTGAAGCGGTGACCATTGCCGACAGAAATGTTGGAACAATTTCGAGCCATCCTGACGAACGCTGGACCTATCTCGTTTTTTACCGCCCAGCAGAAGGACGCTACACCAGCAAAGGTATCCAGTTCTCCTGCGGCGAAGGTCTCACCGGTTGCGGGAAAAGACCCACCGCCGGCACACCTTTCAAGAGATACTTCTGATACAGAAGCGAAAGAAAATCCCCAGGAAGCAGACGAACACGGAACAGCTGGGGACGACACTGTTGTCACGGTTGATCAGGCGACCGACGCTGGCGACGACGGCGACAACTACACCGGGGTTCCTCCGCAGGCCGATGCTGCGTCGGAGGAGGTCGGGCCTTCTGCGGAGGTGGATGACGACATCGTGTCATACTCTGCTGATACCGCCGTCGATCAAGAGGCTGTTACAGTTCAGCGGAACGCGGGGGACGAGCACCTAGCTAACGGCGACAGTGGACCAGAGCAGGAAGTGGCGGCCGTGCCTGAAATCGAACGGGCGGAGGTGGACGATGCCGTGGTCGACGAGCACGACGAGACCGGAGCGCGAGGACAAGAGTTGAGTGGTGGCGAGAGCGGCGGGGAACTTGGCGCTGACGTCGGAAGGGAAGCAGCAGTGGTCAGGAAAATGGAAGGCAGCGGTATAGATGACGAACCGGGTGCTAAAGCCCCCGAGCCCGCAGTAACCATCAATGACGACTATATCGGAGAAGGAAGTCTGGGCGGCCCGGTGGCCGAGGATTTTTTCGCCGAAGACGTTAGCAGCGGAGAGGACGACCTCTATCCGGGAACTGCAACGGCTGCTGGGGGCGAAGTCGTTTCTGCTGAACGAGGTGTTGCGGACGGCGATGATGGCGCTCCTGCCGGTGATCACCCGCCTTCCCCGCGAATAATTGCGACAAGCTTTGAGGCTGCCCCGGGGGGGAACGAGAAACGCCTCGGGTTTCCGCCGTCCCCCGTCGCGACACAGAGGAAGGAAGCTGCGGCGGTAGGGGCAGCCGCAGCTAGCGGGGACGTTGGGCTTAGCGAAGCAGCGAAGGCGGCGGTTGAGGCGGCTTTGGCCAGCGCCCAGTCGTCGTCGGCAAGGCGGTCGAGCCGGTCTTCGCGGAAGACGGACGACAGCAGTTCGAAATCGCGCAAGAAGAAGAAGAGTCATAAGGAGCGGCGACGAAAAGACGGCGGCAGCAAGAGCGGGGGCGAGGATGGTGCTCGCATAGTCGGTGGTAGACGTAGCGGCAGTGTCGGTCCCTCGGATGTCGATAGCGGAGAGAAGCTATCATCGTCCAAGCGTCATCACCGCAAATCCGCTGTTTGACACGTAATCAAGTCAGACGTTTTCGTGATGGTGTGGTAATGTCCCCTGCAGCAGATTTACGGGGGCGCCATGTGGTGTTTGTGGCAGCCCTGTCTTTTTGGCTGCCATTGGTTGCGCCACCAGCGCATATCTTGATGTCGGCAACTCGCGGATGACGAACAACAAATTTGCCCTGAAAATGGGTTCATCCCAGGAAGGACGGTACGATCAGTAGTGTGTGCGTGGGTAACGGGGGCGAGGAGACCATATTTCATCACGTCGAGTGGATCTCTCTAATCTCACCTCGCAACTCACGGGTTGTCTTCGTGGACGGCACTTGCAATCCTATTTAGTGCGTTTTTCCGGAAGTCGAACGCGCATACGATCGAAGAATCCCGACAAGTCCATTGGTCGTTGCATGGGTACCGACCACGGTTGCGTAGTAGCCTGACGTGACGCTTGTTCTCACACCCCGCACTGGTACGACCGCAGTACGTGAGGACGAGTCACCAGTCCCAGGACGCCACCGCGTACCTCCACAATTTCTCAGGCTCAGAAACACGCCATTTCGCATGTGGAACAGCTTGCCGCACAGTCAACAAATCCTCTTGAATACAGTAGTGCATTCCCTCTGCCACAAGCCACGTATACATTTCGATGTACACGAATCGACCCTTCCTGCAAAGTGCTAGGGGATGAAGAGCAAAACTCGCTGTTGAACGCGCTCGGTGTGAAAGAGATACGTAGATGCAGCCAGAACAAGAGGGAGTAAAACGAGAGCAAAACGAAGACCTTCGCCAAAACGTATTTTCCCTTTTCTTGGCACTTTATACTACTTGATGGCCGCCCTTACGTGCGCTGTCAAATCGAACAAAGTCTCGTGCGGCATTGTTGTGTGGCCAAGATGTCACCGTGATCTTTCTTTTGGCTCGCCAGCGCACGTTAGGGGTACGGGCGACCTCTATGATATCCGCTTGCGCATGAAGAAGCCGCCGAACGCCGCAGACCATGGGTAGGGCTATGCGGGGAAGAGCTATATGAAGAACCCTGACAACAACTTTCCCGATCGATGTCAAGCCGCGGTACCTAGTGTGCACGACCATGAGTGATACCACCCGTCACCCAAGGATCTTCGGGTTACAGCTGTAGTCTAAGTGTATTGACCAAATCAGAAAATTGTGTGGTCCGTTTGTACTGCCGGTCTGACCCAATGCATCGACCCCGCCGAGTAGATGGTGATCAGGTCCATCTGAAATACCTAGGAGGAGGTGTTTGTGGGAAACAATAGGGAGGGGTCGAGATGGTGGCCAGATTGATTGGTTGTTGGTTGGTTGATGTACAAGCTGTGCGGCGGAATAATGTATCTTTCCGAACAGGCACATGAACTCACCCCCCCCCCCCTTATTCTCGGTTTGTGCCCCCCGTGGGCATCTTGCATCTTGCAACATCGTGGGGATCCACATCGTGGCGGCCCTCTCTCTCCTGTGTCCCACGATACGAGGGCGAAGAGAAAGGTGCACCAGCACACCAACTGGTTATGTTTGTTCTGCAGGACCATGAGGTGCTAGTTATTTTTCGAGCAGGATTCTTCTACCCTGATGAAGTCGACCCTCACGGCCGAATCCTGTCGAAGGTGAGCGACGGTCGCGATATCTACCTGCGCGGTAGTTGGCTCCTTAGAGGAAGATCGCCTCGGATGCGTTAATCTCATTACCGGAAAGCTTACAGTAGTCGTATAGTCAGGTGTGGGCAAGGAAGTACCACAAGTACTGGCAGTCGTTATGATGCAGCTCCGAGTGTGGCGGGGGCAAACCATATGGTGTGTACAGAGAAATCTCTACTGAACCGCTCCACAACGCTGTAGTAGCTGTCTGCGTGTGTTCCAAACCAATTGGGCACTGATGTAGATCTTTGCCTTCTCGAGTTCACGAAGGAATCAAACTAATGGAGCAAGTTGTTGAAGCCGGAAGGATTCAGAGGATTCAGTAAGGCTTTTGGAGAGATGATTTCACCTTGTTGTCGCGGTCCTTCCTGTGCTTCACAAATTGCTCACCAAGATGTGTACACTGCTGTATGTACCTGGTTAGTGGCTGCCATACACCCACAATGTTGCATGCCCAGAACAATGATATTTCGTTAGTGGAATTGCTGTGCGAGGTGAGTTAATATGTTCTTCGTAGATCTGCTTGGGATATGATTTTCTTTTTGGCGACGAGGTCGCCTGCTGGTGCCGTTTCTGGTGCTCCGTGCAAATCGATCGACAACGATCCCATCAACCGCAGCGGACAGCTGGAAACGTAGAGGGCGAGCATATGCAGGATATTCCGTGGAGAGTATGAGCGGAGAGAAAAAGGGGACTGTTTTGAAGCCTCCTGCCTCGCCCCCTCGTTCGGTAGGCCGTTTTGCGATGCCGTGATGCCTCTCTAGTTGTGTAGCTTCCACTGAGAGCGGAGTCATTTTTTGTTTCTGTGCACACTATCTTCCGCGGTCACGGAGCAGCAGTCTACGAGTCGTTTTCTGGTGAGTTACTGATGACTCTCCCGCGTTTTGACCGAGCAGGGAAGTGCGAGAGCTTCGGTTACAATGCAGAAAACTCTCCAGCAGCAATGACGAGCTAAAATTGGCCGCCGATGCCAGGAGAAAGGAGGTGAGCGACGGAACGGTCCCAAGATCTGGCTTGTGTCTTTGTACTGTAAGATCCGATGAGATATGCTATACATATCGCCACATCAAGGGTTGCGCACCTTGTTGCTGTGGCAGTTGAAGAGGTGCAAGCAACCAGGAATCGCATCAGCCTTATGCAAACCTGTGGGATCTCCGAAGAAAGCGGACGAATCGTCATGTGCGCCAGATATTGCCGTCGGTTTTCCCGGTGCATGCTCCCTCGTGTGTATTGAGCCCCTTTCCCGCCCACCCGTCTACTTCCTGTCCCTGCGTCCAACCCTCAAACGTGGTTTGTGTGCTTTGTCGTGGGATGGGCAGGCTTGTGCGTCCAGAAGGAGGGCCGACGCCGCCCAAAAGGAGCTCGAGGCGGAGCGGAAGTCCGGCGTGGTGCTGAGGAGGGTCCGTGATGCTCTGCAGGTGGCCGCGGCCGCGGACAGAAAGTCGATCGACAGGTGAGATGCCCCGTTGCTGTTGCGGCAACCAAAGAAGGGGTCCAGCTGTGTTCGCTTGGTGCTGCAGCATGTGCGGGAGCACCTGGCGCCCCCGCTCATCCTCCAGTTTACGCCCACGGTTGAGGCCCGATGCACATATTGTGAACAGCCGAAGGCTCTTGATATGGGTTGCAAAAAGGTGGCAAAACTACGGTCATACACCCGCTTGCCTCCCTCATCTCTGACCCCTAACACTCCCTTTTGTACAAAACTCACCAACATTGTCTATCCCCTCGCCCCCCCCATGCACGACTGTGAGTACACCCCCCAGCCCCCCTGCACCGACACCTCTAAAATTATTTTCTCGTGTGTACCATAAATTGATTGGACAACCTACATATGCGGGTGAATGAACTCACGACAAAGGCTTCAGGGGCAGCTGTGCAAGGGGTCGCCCAGCTCCCGCCTCTTGGACAAGGCGCGCTGCCTCAAGAGGACCGTTGAGGAGCTCGAGAGCAAGGTGCGAGCAGCCTTGAACAAACGAATCCGCTGCTGTTCTTGCTGGTGTTTCCTCAGAAACTCATCGCCAATAGCTCGTAGCCCGTGATCACAACCCGGACGCAGGAAAGCGTACCAGAAATATTACACGCACGGAAGGGGGACACCACGGAGGAAGGTGAAGGTGCTGTCAGTGAATCCTTGTCCAGACAATCGCTTCCTCGTCGAGGTTACACCAGCACGAACGGGGAATGGTACTGACTGTCGTGCGGCGATAGCCCGTTAAGCGTTCCTCCCCCCCCCATGTCGAGCGCTCTCGTGAGCTACAGAGGATGTTATTGTAAGCGCTTTTACTGTCGCTCATCAGCGCTACGACAGGGAGTTAGAGGGGGTCGGGTGAATGGTCAGTCGAGTCGCGTTTTGGAGCCCCCTGCCTTCTTTGGGTGGGGGAAGAAGGACTGAAAACTCGCGCCACACACAGAGTTTGTTCAGCCTGAGCGTGTGAAATGAACCTCTCGATTTGATCATTGGGGGGCACGCGCACTGACCGACCAGCGCCTGACGGCAACCAACCCGCTATAAGCACCCCCCTTTCGTATAAATGATGTATAAAGGCCGAAACCGAAGCACGGATAAAGCAAGAACGGCGTAAGCCGACGCGGACACAGGCAGCACTGTTTTGTCGTTCCAACCGCGCAAACAGGGCGATCCTTACCCTCTCTCGATATCGATTCATAGCGCAACATGCACCAACAGCCCGCTTCCCTGTCATCCATTCCTTTTTGGACAGTCGACCGAGCAGGCTGAGGCTCTTAGCGCTAAGACGGCTGAGTTGGAAGCCTCGAGGCGAGAGGCGAGAGCGTTGGCGGCGGCCCTTGGAGTCAGAGCAGAGAAAGCATCGCTGGCTGGAGTCGCTACAGTGAGAGCGACTCAGCAACGTGGTTTGGCGTTGACAACGAGCAAAGTTTGGGGCCGTAGCGTTGTTGTTGGAGGTGGACCGTGACCACAACTACAACACTCTTTTATTGTTGTCGTTTGCAGGGGCCCGTCACCGTCGATGAGTTGTTGGAGGTGGGCCGAGCTAAGCTGATGAATCACGACCTCGCGTTGGGCATGGCGCGCCTTTCCGAGGCGTCGGGAGTCCTAGCCTCGGAGAAACAGGTGCTGGCGCTCGTCGTCGTCCTTGTTGTGGTCTGTGTTTGCCGTGCTAGTAAGAGAGACCCATAGTATGGCCTCAAGATGTTACAGGAAATGGGGGGTAATGCAGGCAAGCAAATATCGTGTAGAGAAGTAGATATGGCAGAACCGTGAAGAGCGCCCGAGTGTTTGGGGGTGCCTATGTTAGGAATAGGAACGGCGCTTCGCCTCGAAAGGGATGCGTAGTCGATGGTCAATGTTTGAACCGCCCCGTCCTGTCTCACAGCCCGTGCTCCTCCTCTGTAGTTAAGCTATTGTGCGGTTCTCTTCCTCCTTCATGCCCCTGATGGTATGGTCAAACTCTTCTTCCCTGTCACACAGCAATGCATGCACTACGCAAGTGAGGCTTGCGTTTTTCGACCGTGCGTTCGTGCCTTGTCCCTGTGACTACTGCTGGTGCTACTGATGCTGCTGCTCCTCGTGGCTGCTGCGGCTACAGTACCCCGATGAAAGTGGTCCTGATTTCATGTCTTTTCATCGACGAAAGCGCAGGAGCTGGAGGACCTGCTGGTGAAAAAAACGGCCGAGATCGAGCGGTGCAAGGCCCAGACTACTGAAGTTCAGGGCGAACTTGAGCGGGAGAGGAAAGTGGCAGATGGTCACCGCGCGGCGGCGGCCGAGGCAAACGCCTCCACCAGGTGGGAAATAGAAATGCGAGACCGACCGCCCACCCGCCCTCACCTCCTTAAGCAGAGCAATCTGTAAAAGCAACTAGTTAGTGTACCATCAGCTACAGAATGGATATCAGGCATGGCTCAAGCATCGGTCTAGGGACACTTAGTCACTTTCGCTTTCCAGGAATATGGCTGAAAACGTATGGCTGGAGGCATTCTAGAAAAGGCGTTGACGAGTGTTGTTTGGGAGGGAAGCCTGTTGTTGAATCTCGACCATTAGTCGTCGTTGAGATGCGGAGCGATCAAGAGGGCAGCCGCTGTTTCTCCATGCACCACAAACGAGGCGTGCACACACCTATCCGGTCCTCTCGCTCTCTCGGGGGACCATACATAACAGCGCTAGGAGTTTTCGCCTGGCCCTTCTCCACTGAGAGAGAGCTTTGAAACTGAAGGGAGATTTTTCGTCCGCCGATAGCACCGCACGGCTGATTTTACCAACAGAGACAACACCTGTTGACACAGACGCATATACCACACGCAAACGCACACATACGTTTACGTTCTCGTTGTTCCGGGGATGATCTTTGCTCAACCTTGTCGGACTGCCTTCGCGTTGCTGTGTGTGTGTGTGTGTGTGTGTGTGTGTGTGTGTGTGTGTGTGTGTGTGTGTGTGTGTGTGTTTGTGTGTGTACTTTAACGACAGGGAAGCAAGGGGGCTTGCAGAGACGTTGCGATCGAAGGAGGAGGAGCTGCGTGAAGAGCTGAAGGTCGCTGCAAGGTGATGGGTCGAAACGCTTGCCTACTACGCGTGGAGCGGAAGCTAGAGGAAGTAGATATGCAATGACTGGTAAAAGTGGGGGCCGTCCATAGCTAGTAGTGCCATCGTCGTCACTATCCAACCTGTGGCGGCGTTCTGATGCGGGCGCATGGGTTGAAACACCAGGATCGACTCGACCTTCTCGCGTCATTCTGTACAGTGTTAACTACTCCTAGTAGACAGTGCTTGGCTGCCGCTGCCATTGAACTGAGATACAACCCCAAAAGCCGCTGCTGGTCTCGTACGGAATACGCAGTTGAGAGTTTGTTGTGACGAGATCGCCTTCAGACAAACCCCCCGAGACAGAGAGAGAAAGAGAGAGATATGGGCCTTTTGGACTCATTTTCGCGATCACCCGAGGTTTATCGCCCCTGCCTGCCCACCCGCCCGCCCTATCGCAAGCCAACGCGAGGAGCTTGAGGGGAAGCTGGTGACGCTCTCTGAGGCTGCGGACCGCGGCGAGGTCATGAGGGCGAAAGCGGAAAGTCTACAAGCCGAGCTGGATGTGAGAAGACGAGAAAAGTCGCACTAATGCTCAGGGCCCAAAACCTTGCCACGGGGCTGGGTAATGAACCGATCACCGCCGTGGATACCATAGCCCCCCGGGGGGGATTGTCGAGCGTCGTGTTTCATTTGTGATTCGCCACAGTGCAGCAGGTAGACAGGAAACGACACAGCGTGGAAGAAAACTCCGACGATCTCCGCGACGTCTTTCCATTCCGGGATCGCCGCAGCCGCAGCTACCGCCCTCAACTTTGTCTCCCCCTTGCTTGTTCCATCTACTCGCCCTTACTCTCTCCGTCCCCTCCCTCTCTCCCTCTTCCGTGCTCCACCCTACCGCTCTTGCGGCTAAATCACGTGCCCTATTCCATTAACAGGCACGCGAGACGGCCCTCTCCACGGAAACGCAAAAGAACGAGCACGTAGCTGCACAGCTTGGCGCCTCGAAGGAAAGCTTGTATCGAGCCCAACAGGTGCTGCATTGCTGTGTGGCTTTGACGCGATTGATGTGGGCGGAGCGCTGCGGGGACCTTGAGACGCCATGTTGCTTCTCCGTATGCTTGCATGCCAAGACGTCGAGTGAGGAGTCAATGATTGCCTGCTACGTCCGATGCATGAAATATTGACGCCCCCCCCCGGCGATACTTTGACGTGCTTCCCGGCGCTGATTGCGACTTTATACGGCATGGCAGCGGCTTGAAGAGCTGGAGGGCGTTACGCGCGAGAATAGACGCCTTGAGGCCCTCCTGCAGGAGGAAGCGGCCCTGCAGGCGGCATTGAGGGAGGACGTCAACGCCGCCAAGGAGGTACAGCGACGACTCGCGGGGAGAAATGCCTTGGTCGATCGATTTGTTTCGTCGGTTCATGCGTCCTTCTCACTACCCGCAGTACACCCCCCCCGGCATATTTATCCCCATGTATCGCACGCGGTACAGGTTTTTGCGTGTTGGGTGCGCCCGGGCCTCCCTGAAGAGCGGAATGCTTGTGTTCCCCCTCGCATGCGCCGTGCCCAGTCAGTGCATCCAATGCCTCCCTGGTTCTTCGTGTAATCCCGTTTTTGTCACCTTCGCTCTAACACTATTGTTCTGGGAAGGGAGTAACTACATGAGAGTGTCAGGTGCATGAAATAATTTGTAAAGTAAGTGGGTGGAAAGCACCGGGAATTGTGAGGCGTGGATGGATTGAGCTGCTTGGGATCTCTTTTTGCGCGCTCGAAGCTCGAAGTGAAGCGCCCTTGCCCCTAGGAAGATACCCATGCTATGTCCGGATTTCCACATGGCGAAATGTGATATCCCCAATACACCAGGAGCTGCGCGTCGCAGTTGCGGAAAGGGGTGAGCTGATGCGGGGGCTGCGACAGGCGAAGGTCTTCAATGACGAACTTGCGAAGGTATCTACGCTTCGCTGGAGCAGAGAGGACACGGACCTATGACAAGGAAGCTCTTGGTTGGGAGATTTTGCTAATGAGATGTATCGTCATGTCCTACCCTTGACCACCCCCACCCGGGTCCTAATCTTTACCCCAATACTATCCCCTGCCCAAACTTTTTTCGTGGCCATGGTCGACGGGCGATGGCCAAATAGCACATCACATCAGTATACCATCGCCTCAATTTCAATTTCTTTTATGGCTGATCTATCAGGGCAAGGAAAAGGCGGAAGAGCGTGAGCGAGCAGCATGCGCCCAGTGCATCGACACCAAGGAGGGAAAGGTGCATGATTCTATTCGGACGTACAGATCTTTACCCTGCCGGTTGAACGTAAAGTCTCCCCTCTGCAAATGCCAGTCCATTTATGCTGCAATCGCGCCTAGTATATCGCAAGTACATCGTTTGCATTGGGCGTCAGAAGCTGTGCGCAGGCCGATAACTCTGGCGTCCTTTATGTATGCACATTTCAGAACTATCTGCGTGTATTCACCACCAACTATCGGGCAGCTGTTTGTGACAGATGCGCCACGGCGACAACTCGAAAATCAAGCAGCACAGCGAAGGTCGTCGATTCCTGTCTCCAGGGTTGGCTTTCTTTCCTCTCAGCGGAAGCCTTGTTCCGTGGGCTCGTGCCGTAACCCAAGCTTCGGAGTTTTTCCGTTTGAAAGTCACGGTATTCCACCGTAGGGAGCGGTAGAATCCCGTACTCGTAACCCTCGAAAACTTATCCTTCTACTTCAAAAACCTCGTTCCTTTTTCCCGGGATAGTTGGCGCTCCAGAGGGCCTTGCTCGAGCAGCTGTCCGCCTCCCGCGCGGAACTCCGTGAGGAGCAGAAACGGTGCCAAAAAGCGGAGGCGACCCTAGGCAGGTGAGTTATGTTGTGCGACCTTCTTGCTACTACGAACACATGCCGGCTTCGAGCACGGGTCGAGGTGAAGCGGCTCCACTTGTCAACAGCTTCCCCAGCACCACTTGGTGCTGAGGCGACCGTTCGGCCATGAACATGGCGGCACAGACAAGGTTGGCAGCTGCGGTCGGTGTAATGGCAAGGGTGGAATGACGTTACGAAGGTTTTCATTACGACCTAGGTAGGGTGGATTCCGGCCCACCCTCTGATCACAGACAGACCGTCATCACCGCGCCTCCACAGTTAGGACAGCAGTGGTGATGGTCAGTGTGGAAACGACCGCAAGAGGGGTGTTAAGAGTTAAGGTGGTAGAAGTTACGGGGGCTCGATTGTCCCGCCCCGTCACTCCCGCCAATTCGGCTCTGTGTTAAATTTGCCTGTGCACGTCAGACTTGCCGATTCAGCGGCGAAAAGATCGAGAAACAGGGGCCTCCCACCTTTGGAGGACGATGGCGAAAGCGACGAAGGCGCTTCCGTTTCGTTTGAGGAGGCAAGTAGACACATAAAAATGGTGACTGCGCTCCTGTGCTTTGCAGCAAACACCGCCTGTGGTGCGCAAATGGTGTTGCTGCTTGCACTTCGATGGACTCAATTCCGGCCCATGAAAGGTTGTCCTGCTGCCCCTCCTCATCGACCTTTCCCGACCAACATTGACTAGCCGAGACGTGATTTTGCAAGAGTGGTGCCTTCTCTCAACTGCGATCATCGACTTGTCCTCTCGGTGCGGAAGCGGCAAAACGATGACTCAGGGTCCGACGTTTTTGCTACAACGATCCGCGTAGCCGCGCCGCCGCCGCCGCCGCCGCCGCAACCCACTTCTTATACTTTCTGCTGTTGTTGTCATCGCTCTTTTGTGTTGGCAGAGCGATGGCGTAAGTGCGAACCGTTCTATAGGTGCAAGCGGCACACCTACTACTGCTTCTGCCGCCGTAACCTCTTCGTTCGAGCCGCCCCGACCGCGAGACACTCTGGTGCAGGACTACCTCGGCAGGGAGGGCGCCGAGCAGTTCCTCAGTGACTGGGACGAGGAGCGGTCGTCGGCATCGTCCTTATCTTTCTCATCGCTGCCGCTACAGTCTCCCCTATCCACTGGCGGAAGAAGCCATGGTGGCAGCAGGAGCGCTAGCTTCGCTACAGGGCGTCCAACGGAGGTATCCTTGCGGGCACAGCCGTGGACTCCGCCGCCGCCGCCACCACGGCCGCCTATACCGCCCCTTCCACCAGAGGAGCTCCCCTCTCTGGCGGGGAGTAGTGGACAGATTCCCTGGGCGTCAGATTCCCCGGGTCACACGACAAAGGGAAGTGCACCGTGTCCTGGTGCTCCCGAAAGGGGGGAGGAACCGTCCACGGCGGCAGCGACGGCGGTGGCAGCAGCCGCGGTGGCGGCTGCCAGACGCCTGCGCGATCCGGACCTGAAAGAATGGACCATGTCCATGGTAGCGTTGGGCAAAGTTGCGCGCGCGGGAGCAGGAAGGACGGCGAGTGACGTAGTGGTACCACCGCAGAAGGGTTTCGGTGACGGCCCTTCAATAGCTGCGGCGATAGCTCCTTCTGAAGCCGATCGGTTCGAGGTCGTTGATGACGGGGACGAAAGTGCAAGTAGTAAGGGTGGTTATAATGTCGAGGGTGGAGGTGGTTGCCGTGACAGTGATGGTACTGGTGTCGGCAATGGGGTTGGATGTACGGGTGTACGAAGGGATGGAGGTTGCTTCCGAGGGGAGGATGTTGACGAGGGTGAAGTTTGTACGATCGAAACAGTTGCACCGACAGCTTCTGCTGCGGCTGTTGGGGTAGTGGAAAGGGGGCCGAAGAGCCCCCGACAGCAGTGTTCTCTGCTCGATTTAGCGGACCAGAGTATCGACGAAATTTAGGGGGTTTTCCGTCCCTGTAAGTACAAATGCGATGTTTTCCTGGCATACGCGCAACCGAAGCAGTGGGGAGTAAACCTGCATTACTTTACTCCACCTTTACACGTCGTGGGTGTTTCTTTAGCTACAGTGGGATCGACAGCGAAAACCGGATGGCCCATGGAAAACCAGTCTTGGCTGGATAAGCAACGTCAGCATTATTTACTGTTCGCGGGCGCCCTTTGGCGGGATGGCCGAGGAGAGACTGGGAATACCGGTGAAAGACAGGATAAGTCCTGTCGTTCGCCTTAAAGCGGGTGGTGACTCTTCCTCTTTCTCACTAGTATGCTTGCCGTTTATGAAGACCAGCTGTACAACGACAACCTCGTGGAGTGTATCTCATAATACCAGTGATACACGTACCTCAGCACACGAACATAATTGTCGTCGGTACCTCAATTTGGCTTGCCAACAACCAAACGCGAGCAACAATAGAACTTGCTCCATTCACACCAAGTTCATAACGCCGAGCATTTTTCTTCGGTGTATGCGGTACATGTTAGGTTTGAACTTGGGTCAGAACATAAAAATCAATATTCCAAACGTCGAGCAAGATTATCTGTTCATCTGAGTTTCGGAGTGCTCAAGGAGTTCACTGTGCGGTGTCAAAGCGAGAAGGGCTCAGCAGGCCTCTTCTTCAAGCGAACTCACGATCAAGCACTTTCTGCGATAGAACCAGATCAGATATTAGCATGTTTCCAAGGTGACGCGACTGTCTCGATTTGATACTTGTAGACAATAAAAAACGTGTCACCATCCTGCCCTAGAGATTTCGAGCTACAGAAGACTACCATCGTCTACTCATGCGCTGAAAGCAGGCACCCGTAGCCATACTCTATTCCAGGCATTGCAGGCTTAGTATGTCGACGCGACGCATGCAGAGGGAACCCCGTTCTTGATAAACGCGTGCAGACCGTACGATGTTGGATCTAAAAAAAAAAATCTTTTGCGGGGGGAGGGGGGAGGGGGGAGGGGGGAGGGGGGAGGGGGGGGCTGCGGCGCGGACTACCTTTGCTAACGTGTGGTGTACCTTGTGTTCCCGCTGCATTTGGCGCACTCGCTGGTGAAGGACACAACGATACTAGGAGAGCTTTCTTTGTGTCACCCTTGCGACCCGTTGTTTCGTGCAGACGATGCCGCCTCAGCAGCCGAGCGCGGCGGATGGAATCCCCCGCACGTCCGAGGTGCCTTTCTTCTCAAGCCTGCACGGCAGGGAGCGTCGCGCCCTCCGCGGAATCACCCGGATCGATCTACAGTCAGCAGTCAAATACGGAAAGAAGGACACTCCGTCGCCGAACCAAGCCACGGGTGCTCGCAGGTGGAAGTACACGCACGCAAACATCGTGTACATCACCGATGAGACATCCACTCTTGAGATCACCTGCTACGTGAAGCCCAACTATGTCCCCCGCGCAAACTTGACCCCAGATCACGTCCGGGACCACGAAACCGCGAAAAACCGCCTGAAGACGGATCCTTCCTTGTGCACATCGCACACGGTCATCGTCGTGGACCAGTCCGGGTCCATGAACATGTGTGATGTCACGGACTTGCGCACCCGCTCCATGGCTGTCTTCGGAACGTTGGCCTTGGATTTTGTGGGCAAGCAGAGGCTTTCCGGGGAAGCCACCGATAGGGATGCCGTGTCTCTGGTGCTGATGCGAGATTCAGCGGAGGTGGTTTTCGAAAGGGAACCAATGGGCTTGGTTCTGTACAACAAGTTTGTCGGCCTCCACGACCAAAGCAGGCCACGGTCCCACGGCATGTTCCTACCAGCGCTAAACGAAGCGGAGCGGCTCCTCAAGAGCCAAGTCCACGTCGGGTGTGCCTTGTCCCTCATGTTCCTCTCTGACGGTCGGCCCAGCGACCAGGGTTCCTCTCAGATGCACGTGATCGCGGATCGAGTTCGTTCTCTGGCCGAAGTCTTCGGACAAAAACTCTCTGTTACAACTCTCGGGTTCGGCAACAAACGCCAAGACTTTTCCGTTCTCGAGGCCATGGCTGGCGCTGCCCAAGACGTGGGGGCGCAAGGGGAATTCCACCTGCCGGAGCTCACCGCAGAGGGCCTTGGGACCGCCATCGCTGGCACTATCTCGTCTCTGGCCCACACTAGGTCAAGGCTGACGACCTTGGCGGTGACGCGAGCTGCGACAGGTGGAGAGGGAAGCCGCGGGCAGTGAATGGGGCCATGCGCCAACCGCACTCCAAACGGGGGACGGCTGGATAGTGTACAAGGATGACCTTCAGCGGTACGAGTTCTCATATAAAGGTATCCGGTATTCCAGGTTCCCGTGGGTCCGCATCGACCATTTCTCTCCGGAGGCCACCGCTATCGCCATTCGCAAAAAGGCTTTGGGCGAGGGATCCGAACGCTTGGTCTTTGGACTGCAGGTGTGTTCAAGTATAGTCAAGTCATTCCTTTTCGGCCATGGATCTAGGTTCCGGGCTTGTGTGGGTCCTCACGTGTGTGGGTCCTCACGTCCTCACGCACGGGCAGAGGGAATATCGGCAAAACTGAAATGAACGGCAAGTTTTTTCGTAGCGGGCAAGAAATCAAATTAGGCCCTGCGCTTGTGCAGCATGCGATCGCCTTCCTGACGATGAAGAATCGTGAATAATTTTATCTTTTTGATGCCCGAGCTCAGCAGATGTGGTACACGACAGGCGTTGTATAGAGAACACACGAATTTAGCCGTAATACAAGCACTCCCTTGGTAAGCACACAAATCACTGTGTTGCGTGCCAGCGCCGAGGCATGCTACGCTGGTCAGCGGTAGTTGTTGCGTGTTTCAAAGGTGCTAATTAGCACGGTTCATAACCGCCATGATATTCCCCAACTTTCAGCAGAATCCTCCACACGGTTCACAGCAGTCTACCTCTTCTTGTGCTTTTGTATGTGAAAACGGCGGCCATTGGCTCTCAGAATCTCAGCCAACACTGTTCAATTGCGGTGTTTTCCAGCGCCGGCTTACCGTGAAGGAGTAAACCCATGTGTGTGCGTCTCGTTCATTGTATTTTAGGAGGTGAGCCTCGCGGGGGAGTTCGTCGGGCCGAAGTTAGTTGCGAAGGAGAGCAAACACGTGGGCGACGAGTACCTCAAGATGGAGTTTCAGGGGTCCTTTGCGAAGACGCAGCAGGTGTCGAAGCTTCTCGCTGCGAAGTTTAACGCGATGGTGCGGGAGCGCATGAATGTCCTCGGCCTTGCCACTAGCCGGGCATGGGACGTGTCCTTCATCGACTGCTCGGTCTATCGATCGTCTGTGCGTGGTGTACTGGTCGAGAAGATGCTGGAGCCGGCTTGCCGCTACACGAAGTGGAACGGAAACGATGGATACGTTCACTGCGCGTTCGGATCGCCAACGGCTGCCCGAGCAACGAAGATGTTGAAAAACATGGAGGCTATCATGGAAGGCAACGAGGAAGAAGATGGCACCGATAGCGTTGTCACCAACAACGAAGACGACGACGAAAGCGGCCCGCCCGATGAGACGGCCAAAGCCAACTCCAGAGCCAGCTCTGCCATCACCACCCCCGGTAAAGGTAAGATGGCTACAGCTCCCCCCTCTGTCGCGACGAACGCCGGCCGCCCCGCTGTCGCTCCCTCCGCTGGTGGCGGTGGAGGGTGTCGTTTCGGGGTTGCGGCTAATTCCTTCGCCTCAACGTCATCCGCAGCAGCTTCCAAGGCTCGGGCACCCAAACGGGGGGCGGGACGATTCCGCAGCGCCAGGGCTACAATAGCCCCCGCCCCAGCCCCTGGAAATCGTCTCGTCATCGTCGTCGTCGTCGTCGTCGTCGGCGGCGGCGGCGGCGGTGCTGCTGCTGCCTCTGCCGCTAGCCGCCGCCCTGCCGTCAAATCAGGCGAGGCCCAAGCTCGAGAGCGGTGTCAGGCGCTCGAGACCTTCAAGGACGTCACCCTGGTGGACTCGCGCGTTACCGCGTCCGAGTTCCTGGATGCCACGGACTGGATCCCCGACGCCGCGATCACCCTTTTCCTCGAATCCGACGACTTCGAACCCGCGCAGGAGGACGAACCCGAGGACCACGACTCCGAGGAGGACGCAACGGCAGCACGCCAAGAAGCTGCTTCTAGAACCCCCGGCTCAGCCACCGCTGCCCCTGGGGGGTGCAATTTTGGACCCGAGCCTCCTCTCCCTCCGTCGTCGTTGCCTGTCGGACAAGCTCGCGCGACCGCAGACCGTGCGTGGGGCACAGGCTGTTTCCGCAGCTTCCCGGCGGCAGACGCTCCCTCGCTACCCGCGCCCAACAGTTTCGGAGCTCCGGCTGCTTCGGCCTCCGCCGGCGCATTCCACTCCTCTGCACCCACCACGTTCAGACCCGGGTCCAAGATGGCGACGGCTGGTGTCACAGCCCTTTTGCCCACTCCCGCCGCCTCGAGAACGCTCGGTGATGGTCTTGGGGGGTCGAGCGCTTGCGCTAACAACCCACCGGCTGCCGCCGGGGTCAGTTTGGGGAAACGTCCGTCCTCCGCTAGATCTGACGAAGGTCACATTGACGGCAGCGCTCGCAATCGGGGTCTCCGCGGGCCTCGCGGCTTGCCGTCCAGGTCTTTTGCTCCTAAAGCGGAGTGCTACCCGCAGGCGTTCTCCCACTTTTCCTACTGGCAGACTCGTCGCAAGATGCTGGTGTGCGATCTGCGGGGTGTACTTTCGAGCAGTGCTCCCGGTGAGGATCGCGCGGGAGTGTTCGAGCTCACGGACCCCGTAATCCACTACAGATCGAAGTCCGGACGGACGCAAGTCTATGGGAAGACGGACCTCGGCAAGAGCGGCATGAACAAGTTCTTCAAAACCCATCGGTGCAACGACGTTTGCCGGCTGCTCGGTTTTGGAGAGTAAATGCCCGGGGAACGGGCGTAGGCGTTTTCAGCTCAACGGTATCTCTCGAAGGTCCCCTCGACAGGTGACTGTACAGTTGTCTGTTGTTGCTCTTGGCGGAGAACGGATGTGTTTGCTACCCTTATGTCCGACTGAGCAAGGAGAGGCAGACACGGCGATTGGTCTCTCTTGCGGAATATTGCCAACTGGACCAACCACTTCTGCGTGTTTGCCAAAAGGTGACTGAGCGTTGACCCCCCGCCCCCACCCTCCAATCACGAAATACTGTTTCTCGGTAGACCTCTGATGTAGGAAGGCGCCAATATAGCGATGTTAGTCCATTTACCGTACATATCAGGGAGGGAGAATCAACGCATTGTTGTCGTACTGGCGTGTGGGGTGAAGGGCAAGGCGTACAGTGTGCATCAAACACGATCGCACGGTTTGTGTTTGCTTGTGTTTTCCTCCAGCCGGGGGTATGTGCGAGCAAGCGCGGACCAACAGATGGGATAGTAGACACAAGCTTCTCGAACTTCGTTCGGCCACGACGATCAGCTTACAACCCTCACCTCGAGGAACTAAGGAGTAGAGTGAAGGGATAAAGGACAACAGACATGCGTGTTTCGTCTTGGGTGCGTGGCACACTTGCGTGCGAGTGGCTAGACAGTCTGGAGGCACTGGGTACTATGAGAGGGGCATTGGCAAGGTGTCCTTCCTTCCCTCCGCCGTCTGTGGGGTGGTTTTCATGTTCGTGGGGGCCACGACGCTACCGACTACGGACTGCAGTAATTAGGCGTATACAGTCGCGATCTAGACTGACATTTGTTTTCTGGTTTTGGGGAAGGGGGTAGAGTAGACTGAACGCAAAGCTAAGCGTTGGCAACGATATGACGGGAGTGTGGGAAATATAGTATCCAGCGTGGGTGGAAATAAATAATGCTTGAAACGCGTATCGTTGGGGCGAAAGCAGCTTGCACACATTCCAGCTTCTAGTCTGTAAAAGGATCGCGCGGCGCATCACCAGATAGCGATCGATGATTGGTCCACCATACCCATTCCACTGCAAGCGTCGGCACCGTACGTATATCATCTTTTGTGGCGGGGGCGTGCAGGGCGAGTAGTGTTTGGGTGTGGGTTCTAGACTTTGACGTTTTCGGTGTACGCCCTTGCCTGAAGTATCCACGTCTGCACACAAAACATCAGGTAACTTGGGGTCTTTTGTGTTGCCCTACATAGCAGCCTAAACATTGGTTCTGTAGGGACTGGCCAGAGGGGTGCATCACAATGTTCAAGAAAAGTGTGTTAGAGGTTTGGGCTGGCGTGCGTTCAAATTACAATGTGAAAATGTGTTTCCGTAGCACAAACTGTCAAGATGCACGATGACCACTACACCATTAGTCAGCCGCTGACTAGTAGTCTAGTGGTTATTGTGGTTCTTAACGAACGTCGAATCTCCCTTGAGCACTTTGATGTTATCCTGTGGGGATTTGGTTTGCGCACGATATATATAGTCTATGGGAATAAAAGTCTGACGAGGCTTGGCAAAATTACGCCGATGAACCTCTTGTTGTACCGCGGACCGGGCAAGACAGCACTGATAACAGGGATGGCAACCCTGGGGGGACGTGTTCGTGGCTTGAAAAATAGCTTGACGGACTCGGGCGTTAACTTTTTTTAAGAAGCACGATGACCACTAGACTACTAGTCTAGTGGTCATCGTGCTTCAACAGGGTGTCTGCCCCTTTCTTGTTCGCCCACTTTGCCTCCAAGCTATCCTCGGCAACCTCTCCTATCCCATACCGTACACGAGGTACTGCCATTTTTGCTTCCTTGCGTCCCTTCCCGATCGTAGGGATTGGATCCCCAGTTCTGCCCTGACGGCTGCATTTATTTACTTGTTTGTGTGCTAAATACAAGAGCATTTTTGGATGATTTCGTTGCTTTCATGTGCACCGCCTTGAGCTTTTTGGCTACCTTTTTATCTCCTTCCCATACCTCGCCCTCGTAACTAGCGGCGTTACGATTACGGTCCTGTGGGGGAGTGGGGGCGGGCGGTCATACCCAAGGACCTGGGAGAGTGCCTCGAGAGCTGGGGAGGGACGGCGGCTAAGGGTAGGTGCATCTGGAAGACTGAGGATGGAGAACAACGGGACGTTTGGCTCAGGCAGTAGCACAAGCCCGATAGGAGAGAAACCAATACGCATCGACAGCGTCTGCCCAGCGTGTGTGGTGATCACGCAATGGGTGGGGGTAGCCAGCCATGGAAATTGTCGGCAATGGTCCAGACTACTATTGCAGCGGTTTCGCCATTTCGAGAAGTGGCATAGCGATGAGTGTGGATGGCTCAGACAACGATTGAATCGTGTTGGAGGGATTGGACAAGAGGCACACCGTCATGGACGCTGTAGGCTCCAGCGACAACGAGAGAGTGACACTGGCAGCGATGGGTGCGGGGAGGGAGGATGACGAGAGCGTTGGGGGCGGTGAGACGAGCTTGGTGGGTACGGACGAGAGGAACGACGGTGGGCAGGGCATGATAGAGGGCGATTCCAGGGACAAAGACGATGACGGAAAAATTGATTTTCACGTTTCCGTCACATCTGCAGTGTTCCCGTCGTATTGTTGCGTTCACGAAATAGCTTGCACTGACGAATATTATCTGCTTAGTGACAACGGTGACATGTTTTGGCGATCTCGCGGTACCCTTCTACGAAGACACGCCCCAAGGCCAGCGGCTAGCTGGGCTTCTGGACGAAGATGAAAGCATGGACGTGGATGACGAGATACAGCACGTGGAGATCTCGGACAGTTGTTGCACCCAGGCGTGTGCGGGCCTGTTGCTCTTGACAGCTCATTGCTGCAGAGGGGTGCAGTACTATTTAGGCTGGGTGTGGGGTGGTTTGGTGGATACAGTCGCTCGGCAGTCGGTATATCCGCTACTGGTACGACTACCTTCTCCGAGACTGAGTCGAGACCCAGATGCGGGCGTATGCTCGTGGATTTAGCCAAAATCGAAAGCGGCAGAGCAGGTGGATGGTGCTACAACCGGAGTTGTACCTACAACGGGTGAGTTGCTTCATGATACAAAAATTAGTACTAGGCCTGACTTGGAATTTGTGTGCTACTGAAAAAGAGGGGGGTAGTGGAATCAACTCCACGTTACACGCAGCAACTCTCGTCCGGACCATGAACAAAGAAAGGGAGCGCAAAGGTTCAGGGGAGTACGGTTCCCACCTTGCGCGTGGCGGTAGTCTTCAGATTAGTCTCAACCCTACGTTTAGGGAACACACGAGAGAGAAGGTTCGTTCGCGTGTCAGCTGATGCTCTGTGTCTGAGGTGTTTGTGTCGTTGGTGGGAATAGCACTTGATGATGTACATATTTTTCTCAAACTATCATCGCTATCGTTTCATAAATTCAAAGAAATGCGTCGCTCGGACCGCCAACAGGACCGCCACCCAAGCAAACCCGTGGTCTGAGGCATGCTGAACGGGCCTCAATCCCAATTCCCTTTCCCTACGAACCCTTTACTTTTCGCCGTAGTTTTGGTATCTACAACCAAGCAGTCCACGCACGACACGATTCGACGAACTCCACATACTGTGCTTTTTCGGCGTGTGATTGTAACACGCCAACAAAAATCACACAACAAAAAATCACACCTCAAAAGTCAGACAAAATATAATACTTTATTGTGATCGGCACCATACCGCACCATTCACCGCTCACCACTTATAAATTACGTTAACTCTTCTCGTGTTCCAACCTCGCCTCACACACGCTTGTTGGGTGGGGCATGAAAGTAGCATGGATCTACAACGGCATGCAAAATACCTATTCGTCATCCCACCTCACACCGCCAGAGGAATTCATTAGACACATGTAGGTAAGTCAGGGAAAAGAAAGAGCTCCTGGTTGCGTTGATGACTTCGACGAGATACACGGAGGTAGCCTGCTTTCTATAAATGAAGACAGCCTTGACACGCGCGTCCCGCCGATTGCTGCTGGTAGTTGCGCAACTTACCACCTTTGCCTTCCCGCAAGTCGAGACCCCCCCCCCCCCCCAACCCCCGTACAAAAATGCTACGGTAGTAATCATTTGGCCGGTAGACGGGATGGATGGCATGGCGCGCTTCCTTTCCTCCAAGGCCCATCAAGGGAACTCAAGGTTTACCCAAACTGAATGCTCAAGAACCCCGTTCTACCCTACGCAACCGTTTGCCACCTTCAACAAGCACGGATGCCGACATCAGCCCAACCAACAACTTGACTCCATAGACCGCCGGTAGCTCGGCGTCGACTTTCGTTGATTGCGGTTGACGGCAACTCGTTTATTATGTTCATTGGCCCCTTCGCTGCCGCAAACGCCACCAAACATGCCCGGCAAACGCTAACCCAGGTGGGTGGTGGAGTACGACACAAGAGCACAAGGTTTACATTATGAAAAACAGCAATATACTCAGTCATATTTTAGGCTAAGGCAGTTCTACGCAGTTCTGGCCTGTCCGGAAAGAAACAGCAATAACACGATGCTCACCACGCCAAGTGATCCACCTACTCGTTCATGTATTAAACATGCGTTGCTCATCGGCTTCATTCCCCCTCATCTTCCTTCCCACCCTTTCTCCTCTAGAATAGAAAACGAGACAATGACGACCATGCACTTCCATTTTCTGTTGTTCATGTGCTAGTATGAAAGAAAGCGCACTGTATCGCACAAACAATCGGGTGTGGCGAAGGGTCATGCTCGATGAGAGAGATGGACGCATCATACCGCGTGTACTGCTGTCGTGGTCCTTCGTCTGCTGAAAACCAACACGAAAGCGCTGTGCATGGACTGCAAGTTTAGTCGGTCAGCCGCTACCTGTAGAATCATTAACAAACTCTTGACACACAAGGGTGAGCCAGATTCGTGTCTCTACCCTCCCTCCGTGTTCTACCCTGTATCCTAGGCTCTTTCAAGCATTTCCCCCAAGATTATGACGCCACCACCCCTCCCTTTTCGTTCGCTACGAGAACCATC